CGGTGCCATGGTCGGTCACTGCATCTGCACTGGCGCTGCCGTCATTGGTGGTCGTGCTATCGCAGGTCGCGTCTCTCTCAAAGTTGGTAAGTTTTGGTGCCGTTCTCTTGTAACGTTTCCTGCTAACATTTATCAGTCACCGTGGGCGGCGCCGTTGCTTTCCTCATTTTCGGCTTCATCTACTTCATCGAGGCCTTCTACGCATGATTCGTCCTGCGCCCAATTTCGACTCCTAAAATTCCTTCTTGTATAGAATACGCATTCCACACGTTCCATCAGCCTTACTCTTAGTGTAGTCCATCCAAACGACGCACTCCACATTCGCTGCGTACCAACTTTTAATCAGAAAGGTCCTCGGTTGATTTCTACTGTTCGGCGCGGGAAAGGTACGAATCACATGGCTGAAAGATCACACGAGACGTCGAGTCTGCCTTATTGTTCTGGATCATACATATGAAAGCAAACGGTTAAGGGGAGGGGACATCCCCTTGGGAAATCAGCGTTCGGCTGCCACGGAAAGCAAAAAACAGAAAGAGGTGTGAGAGCGGGATCATGTATAATAGCGACAGTGCTGGCCATAGGGGCATAGGTTGGGAGTTATCAGGAAGAGGAACCTCGGGTGTCGTGACCTCGGAGGCTCCAACTCCACACAATGTATTGACGTTATCTGCACTACCCTGACTTGTTTTTGTGAGCTGCTCCTGAACTCGGGCCATCAGGACTTGGTATGAAGACATATGCAAGAGGGACTGCAGTAACCAGGCAACGAAACGACGGGAGAGACAAATAACCACGAGCGACGACTACTTTCAATGACTTCACAGAGAATACACCATGACGCACTATCCGGAGCTTGTCAGGAGTAGCTCGAAGCCATGCTGCACTAGAGTCGTAGTCCAAGGATCCGGTTCCTGCAACGGACCAACATGCTGACAACCATGTTGGTCCCCTTCCTCCCCCACCTTTTTTCGACGTTCGTCCATGGCGATTGAGTCTTTCGGATTACAACACAAAGACGACACAACCAACCGTGGGCTTCTTTTTAGCAAAATCAACCTACTTCTGCATATCTAAGTTGGAAACTACATCACCAATTACCCACTTTTATTTTCCCCAGACTGTGACCTCACCTCTCTCAAACCAAAACCCGCAACTCAAACTCCACCAAGGACCCGAATGCTCGGGCGAACATACTTCTTCCGCGCAGACATCGACTTCCCCAAAGGCGGCGCCCCATCGACGAAGCACTACACCAGAGACCTCGCCGCGCGCCGCCCCGACGACCCGAGCCCGCGGCTCTGCGCGCGGTGCCAGGACTGGGACGTCCCCGAGTTCGCCGCGGGGCGCGGGGCCAAGGCGCATTACTATCTCCCTCTCGCTGCGGTTCTCCGGGCCGGGGGCGGGTGTCTTGTTTGTGCCGCTGTCGGGGCGGCTGTGGAGGCGAGGAGGAGGGCCGGGTCCGGTTGTGAGAGGGAAGAGTGGCTGAGGAGCGCCAAGGCAGAGGAGGTGTATGTCGCTGTGCAGGGGCCGTTTTTCTTGGACTCGGGGTATAAGGTGGACCAGGAGAGGAGGCTGGCGGGCGGGGATGTGAGGTTGTTTTTGGAGGTGACGGTGAGTCTTGTGAGGGACGGGAGAGGCGAGGTGCCGGTGCCGTTTGCTGTGACGCCGCAGTTTCGGATGAAGTATTCTGCGGGAGGGGGGGATGTGTCGCGGCTGGTTGGGGTTGAGGAGTGGGAGGTTGGGAGGTTTGAGATCGGGACGTTGAAGGGATGGATTCAGCATTGTGAGAGGTGGCATGATGCTTGCGGTGCTGAGTATGCGTCTACATGTGAGTTGTTCCCCGAATTCGGGAGAGAGCATGGATGGCTAGCTGATCATGGGGGGTATAGCTGAGTTGCCGCGCGGGTTTCGCGTGATTGATATGCGGGACATGAGGATCGTGCAGCCGTTTGAGCCGGTGCGGTTCGTCGCGCTGAGCTACATGTGGGAAGCCAGCGAGGGCGCCGGGCACGCGCAGCTAGTGAACGCCAACGCGGACGATCTCGGGGCGGAAGGCAGTCTTTCATCGGTCTCGCTGCCCCGGATAATCACGGACACGATCTCGCTGTGCAGGGACCTCGGGGAGCGGTATCTGTGGGTGGACCGGCTGTGCATCGTGCAGGACGATGAGCGGTCGAAGCCGGACCAGATTGACGGCATGGATCGTATTTACAGGTCTGCGGCGTTCGCCATCATGGCCGCGTTGGACGATCGCACGGGGAAGGGGCTGCCGGGGTACATTGACGAGAGGAGGCCGCGGGCTTCGCTTTGGGGACCGCCGAGGAATCGGAACAGTCGCCGTGGGATCGATCCGAATGGCGTCCAGGCTATTGTCGACCCGTCGCTATGGAACAGGCGGGGGTGGACGTTCCAGGAGAGGCTGTTCACGAAGCGACGGTTGTTCATCACGGAGTATCAGGTCTTATTCGAGTGCTGTCGCGCGCAAGCTGCGGAGGAACTCACGTGGGGCCCGCGTTTGAAGGATGATCCGCATTACTCGCCCGTCGAAGAGGTCAACTACGAGGGTGATCATGATTGTGGCGATGCCGATGCAGATGCCGGGGTCAGTCACGATGGCGAGAAACGAAAAAAGAACAGACACTCGTTCGGAACGGGGTTCTACTGCAAGCCGAGGTTCGGCAAGTCCACCACGATCCAACTCCAAGACCACATCATGCTGGCGGATTACTGCCTCTGGGTGGAAAACTACACGCCGCGCGAGCTCTCGCACGGCGGGGACGTCCTCAACGCCTTCGCCGGGGTCGGCAACGCGGTGAAGAAGGCCATGAAGACGGAGGTCATGTACGGGCTGCCTGCGACGTGTCTGCCGCAGGCTTTGATGTGGAGTCACACGGGCAGGGCAGCGCGCCGCGAGGAGACGGCCTGGATCCCGAGCTGGAGCTGGGCGGGATGGGCCGGGAAGGCGGGATACAGATGGATTCACGGGGAGGAGAAGCTGAACGACTCCAAGCTTGTCCGCGTCGTGACACTGGTCGCGTTCCACTTCCAGGATCCGGGCCGCGGCCTGGGGAGGGTGGGCGTCAGGGAGCGATGGCTGGGCATGGAGATGCGCAAGATGAACATCATCAGCCCGGACAAGCTACCCAAGCTGCAGCGGCGGATGAGCGGCGGCAGGATCAACGTGTCGGAGGAGACGGACCGGATGTACGAGGAGATGTGGAACCGGTGTCCTCACAGCCCGTGGGAAGCCCTCGCGCGCCCGGGGCTAGATGCCGCGGCTGTGGAGATTGCGAGCGATTTTCCTGGGTGCTTGGTGTTTAATACCACCGTCGCGTCGTTGCGGATCGGGCGTGATCACAGACGGTCGGGGACGAGGGCGGCGGCGGGCGAGTTCGAGGACGCGGAGATTCTGGACGTCATGGGGCGGCAGGTTGGGTACCTTGACAAGATGGACCCGGAGTGGATTGCCGGACGGAAGGGCAAGAGGGACCGCAGGAGGATGCTCGATTTTATCGTCATCAGCGCTGGGCTGCAGGAGGCTACCAGCGAGAGAGGCCAGTGGGCGTTTATCGAGGGGCAGTTTCATGAGTTGTGGCAGTTCAATGTCATGCTTGTGGAGCGGCTGCCTTACGAGCAGTTTGTCGCGAGGAGGGTCGGAGTTGGGTGTGTGAGGGTGAGTCGGTGGAGGGAGTGTAATCCGCGCTGGGAAACTGTGGTGCTATGTTAGATGATGTGAAAATGAGAACTCGATTGAACGATCACATGTTCGGTGTACTATTGAGGTGAAATCCGCTGCGTTGGCGATATTGGGCTGTCTGGGCCGTTGCCCTTGGTGATCGCGGCGCGAAGCTCAGGACGTCTGTGGTGCGCGTATGCTGGCGTCTACTTGGCGGCTTTCGAAGCAGCAACTGTAATCTGAGTACCTAAGTTCTATCAACGAAGTTTGACATAGGCACGAGACGAAGTTGGACTCGTGGGCTGAGGGAGGTGGAGGGCAAATTGCGAGTGTCGCGAGTTCCTTCCTCAGACAGGGACGACACGGACGACGACGCCAGGGACGACAGACAACGGCAGGTACGACAGCATGTTCCAAATATTCGACAGATCAACTACAACACGTACGCAGGCCATTCTCTCATTCAAGAGAAGTCGTGCAGAATCACATCGGCATCTACGTATCAGGTCTCTTCTTCATACCACTGCTCATGGCAATGTGCACAATGAAAAGGATGTCTTGCGACAGGCAAAAATCAAAAATTGCACCCACGATGGCCCCGAAGGACAATCGAGAGAGGTCGACTCCGCGATGTGCAATGCAGGCCTCCCTCTCTGCCGCCCGGATTTCATGATCCCCAGAAACGGCCAGATAAGGTAAGTATGAAGAAAAGAAAAGAGACGAAAACAAGCAAAGACGCGCGAGGAGGCCACATATTTATAGACCTCGTGAGGCCCCAGCTGTGGATTGGATGCCTGGGGTGGCCTGACTCGGGGCCGAACCACCACGTGACACGATCGGAGCTTGGCTGCTTTTGGGATGGTTGGGCCAATTGGGATCAGAGGGTGGGTCCAGGCCGGTGCTCATTTCACTTTGAGAACGTTGGGGCCTTGTTAACGGACTCTGAAGTTGCACAAAGTATCGCAGCACCTTGGGTACATTTCTGGCCTCCAAGTTCTTGCAAAGATGAGCAGTCTGTTACAAATATAGGAGCTTTGTCATCTTGCCTTTGGAGACTTGGATTATCATCGAATTCGAATTGCTTAGCGATGGTTGACTGGGTCAAACGCAAAAGCTAGGTAAGTACGCAACTCAGAGGTAACAGCTACGCTAGTGACCGAGCTTGCACATTCTTGCTTATATTTTATAATGGAAGATACGGCAGTCAAAAAGGTGCGCAGCCAGGCGGCAAACTTCGAAGAAAAAAGTTCAAGGGAAGGAGGATTCATAACGCACGTTAGTCTTCATATTTTCTTTCTCTCTATCGCTACTGAAATGGGAGTATCTACTGCCGTCTCAACGAGACTTTGCCGATTGTTCAATTTGGCGTCGCTCACGTGCAGCGTTTCCGAGATCGACTGGCGTAACATTGTCAGCTTCTGTAAAGTAGTCAGTAAAGGGAACGAGGTACTGACCATTCATCGCGCCATAAGGTCAATTCTTTGAGCTCTTCGGTCAAACCCCCGGCCCACTGATCATGTAGCTCGAATGCGCGGCGCAGGTTCTTGTCAAACTTATCATTCTTTCCGAGGTAGCGTTCCAGCTTGCACAGCCTTTTCCCATTGTTCGCGTGCCAGTGCAACATTTCGCGCGTCTCATTCATAACTTTGATAACTCGATCAACAATATTCTGTGCCGCTGTAGCCATAGGATCATCTTGACGGACTAGCCGGCATAACGCCAACCATTCGGTGTTGGCTGAGATGACTTCGGTGATCATTTTATCGATGTTGGCGACGATAGCGTCAACGGCTTGTTCGGATAAATGAGACATGGATGGTGGTAAATGTTTGCGTGCTCGTAGTAAGGACAGGGAGTGTAATTATGAGGAATACTTTAGGAAGGATGGTGTTCTTACTTGGAAAACAAGGAAGAAGCGTTGCAGGAAGAAGATAGGAGTGGCAAGTTCGGCTTATGGCTTGGGAGGGCTTAGCGGTGAGATTAGCAAGGTCATTATAGTTGTCAATTTTGACACGAATTGCATGCCACCAGGGTGGCGGCGCAGGTTAAGGGGAAAAACAAAGCCTTTCGTTTTTGGCTAATCATGTTGGTTTAATTTTGGAACTGCTCTCGCTGAGAAGTGTTGACTGCCATGACGCCCATGAGCGTAGGGACCCTAGTTAGACAGTGCTCCTCAGCTGGGGCGGCAGCGATGGCATGTCATTTGCCATAGTATCGGGGCTCTACAGGAATGCCAACAATACCAAATGTATCATAAAGATTATGATGCCGTCAGCAGGTTTCAGATTTGCATGTAGGTTGCGAAAAATATGTTCATCTCCTCCTGTTCAATAGAACAACGCACGCAAACAGTACCGATTTATGCATTTATGGCGATACAAATCAAGATAACTCGTCGGTCGGAGAAGAGAATAAGTAGTTAGAAAAGGCAATCCGCAACTATGTGTTAAGATTGACGGTGTTGATGAGGGGTTGGTTGAGAACGAACGACCGGCGTCCCTCGGTGCTAATGTGGGAAAGAAAAATAGCAATGATAGACTCGCTGGAAGTAAATACATCATGGTATTTTTGGGATATTCTTAGTGAATAAAGAGAGCTACGCCTACCATGCATCATATCTGACCTTCCTAAAATGAAGAAAAGCTTGGAGACAATATTGAATTCGTCTCTTCATTGGGAACCATGCCACCGTTTATTCGTGCCTAGTGTCCTCACCCCCTCTACAAATTCCACAAAATATATGTCAGTGCCTCAGCAAAAAAGACCGTTTGTGACTTCCCGACTTGAGGATAGAATTTGAAGTAGTTATCTTTGCCTGAAGTCGGGGCAAGGATATTATATCCATCTAGGCCAAACAGACTCATCTTCAGCAGAATGGCCTTCACGACCTCTGGAGTCTTGAAGTAGACATGCGAAGGTAGACTTTTCATGTGAACGGCCCGGTTCTTGTCGTAGAACTGGTAAACTATGGCGACAAGGGCTGCTGCAACGGGAGTTGCAAAAGAAGTTCCCGACATAACGGTCCAGAGTCCAGGCAATTCGGGATCCCCATCCTCGGCCATTTCCAGGCCGGATTCTATCCCGTCGGCCTTGAGAGATATAGGCCAGGTGGACTTAAGGTTGGAACCGAGGATACTGAAGCAGTAGTCTCCGTCTGACGTGATTCGCCTGCCCATCGTCTGCGAATAACCATTATGGTCACAAGCGGATATCTTGAATACGCCGCTTAACCTAGCGGGCATAGGAAGGGTCGGAAAGCTTCCCAAAGCTCCTGCCGCACTCAGGAAGATCACATTTGAGTTTCTGACTTTGTGAATTGCAGCCCTAAGCTCGCCTGTCGGATCTTCGTGACTGCCGAAACCTGTAAGAATAATGTCGGCCTCCCATGTATTCTGAGCGTGATATATTGCCTGAGAGGTGACCTGGTTAGTGGGTTCAAAGATGATGGAAGAAGCGTCTGCACCTGTGCCATTTTTACCTGCCAACGGGAATCGTGGCTCATGGACGCCTGACTCTGGCACACCCGTGCCACCGACAGCTCGACATCTGGGGCCAGTCGAAACACCAGACCAGCAACGAATGTGCCATGCCCGTCGTCGTCGATTGGGACATCGAGAAAGTGATCGAAATCTTTGAAAAGAGGCAATTCAGTTCCATCGGCTTGACGTCGACAACGATGCCAGTGCCTCTCTATGAATGGGTGGGAAGCGTCAATCCCCGTGTCAATGATGGTTATACGGGTTGGTTCTGTAGCAGTTTTATCGAATTCATCCGGTAGTATGCCTCTGCGAAATTGGATGAAGTCTTGTATCCATCTCTCACTTGCCCTGGGTGTCACAAAGAAGTTAGTCAATGTCCCTTGAATCTTTAGGACAAGCGCCATACTCGTTCCCGCTTGCCGGCATAGCATCAAAGGATACAAAATTTTCGCCTAAGTATCATTATTAGCGCCTAGATCCGGGGGAGTTTTGAATGCATGACATACGGATTTCAGAACTGTCGGCCACACTGGGGCTTGCTCTGGCCGATTCTTGACGTACTACCGGAATACTCGAGTCGTCACTTCCCGAGTCGTCATCTCCCAGGTAGCCAGTTCTCAGGTAGCCATTTCTCTTGTCGTAACCACTTAGATAGATATTTCCCAGGTTGTCATCTTCCGAGTCATCATCTCCCACCTTTTCGCCCTCCTCTTCTTGGTCATCCAATCCTCTTATCCTCTTACTTGTCCTTTCGTTTGCATTATCGCTCTGAAGACTCAGAAGACTTTCCCAGAGAGCCTCAGTTTCGACCAACAAAGAAGTAGCAGCCTCCTTGTGGTCTATTGACCTAAGCTCGAATGTTTCAATTGCGTTCTGGGCCTCATCGTACACCTTCCCACCTTGGGCTTTGTCTTCCAGCTCCAAAACATAGGCACGCAGTAACTGGTGTCTCTCCAAGGTGATCCTATGCAAATCCTCAAAACTATCACTATCTCCGGTCTTCTGTAACGCCATAAGTCTGAGTTCGATAAGCCGCACACGTTCTTTAGGTAGCTCAGAACTGTGATCGAGGAGTATTGAGCAACAATGAAGCACATCTTCAGCATCCTCACTAATTTTCGGATTGTTTCGGGTGCTGATATTCATGACTGCTAAATCAAGCGCTTCACCAATTGCTTGATTAGCCTTATCATCGTCGTCTTGGTCTCGATATTGGGCACTGATCCCTTTTAGAACTTGGGTCAACTTTTGTCGGGCAGCCCTGACAAGCAGCATGACAGGAGGCCTTTTCGCCATTCTGGCACGAAGTACTTGGCGACTTAAGCCTTCCGCTTTTCCCAAGTCACCAGTTTCGAGATAGCAAAGGATCAATTGCTCTTTTGCGAGAGTAACGTCGTCATCGGACGTTTCCTCGGTCGCTGTCCATGCAAGAGCATCCGAAATGATCTCCGCTGCTTCCAATGCCCTCTCAGGATACGTACCCAACAAATCTGCGGCCAAGTTGATGGCTGTTCGCAGGTCGTGCCGCGTCGGGTTCTCGTTTGCTTCGATGTGTGTCTGTGTCTCATCATTATCTTCCACTGTCGCAGAAGCTGGATCTGGAGACCATTCCGAGATCGAAGTGTTTTTCTTGAAGTCGCGGGATATGTTTAACCACTCCATGTCATAATCGTCTCTGAATTCTTCGAGGTCGCGTCCACTGTTTTTGTCTATCTGCGCTTGAGGTTCCGATAGGGTATCGTCAAGTTCACCCTCTGGCTCTTCCCATTGCGTAGGAGCTAAGACTAATGCTTCAGAAATAAGGTGGTCTCTGACATGCTTCTGCAAAGCCTCTAGAGCTTGTTTGGAGTTTCGGTCAGGGTTAACCCTCTCAATCTCTTCGGGAAATCCTCCACAGAAGGGACAGTTGTTCAAGACATATTGGTCGCTTATCATGCTGTGCTTAACCAGAGTGGGACGGAGTGAAGCCGCGACCTCCTTTGCGTGCTGTGTTGATAAGTGCCTTTCCAAGTCTTTTGGAGTCTGAAATGACATGGAAACAGACGACGGTTGGCAATAACAGCACTCCCATTTAGGCTTCGTGTGCTTGTCGCGCATGTGATTAAGCCAGCCAGACTGTGAACCCGCACACGCGAATGGCGATTCACATTCCTCAAATACGCAGAAAAATGGCTCAAAGTCGTGAATTAGATGGCCCCTACTATGGTTAGATCACTGCTATACTCCCGCTTTTCGCACTTTCGCGGGACACATACATCCACTCTTTTTGACTGCTGACTTCTTTTGCTGGACAGACCAGGAAACAATACGGGCAAGTAAAGGAAAACCCTCCTGGGTCTAATTTCGGTCTCGAGGGAAAGTTTCCGGTGGAAATCTGAACGGATGTCACGGATTGTGCGCGTTTGTTGTTATTGGTGGCTTGGTCAAAAAGCTTCTCGTCGAGTTGAGTAACCAGCGTTTTGGAGAGTGTGACGCTGGGTGGAAGGCTCATTTTTCGAACTTCTCCCTGTGGCAGCGTGAGTTTGGAATTTTGTCCCTCTGACGACTGGAATTCTGGAAAAATCTTCTCCATCTCTACCGAATGTTCGGCTAGTCCCAGCATTGGGGCAGGTTCATTCAAGGTTGATGTCTTTTTCTGGTGTAGCTCGAGGTACATGAACCGCGCTCGACGTGTTGCGATGGAGTCAGCTACGCGTTTTAGTAAATACTCTCCCGCCTTGGGAAAGTTGTGATCAACATGTTGGCGTGCGAGGAATTCAAAGAGCCCAATTACTTGTCTGTTGCGCTCCAGACCTTTGAAGCGTAAAACACGCTCCTGGCGATGTTGGAACCCCGCTACGTGGGTGTTGAGTGCTAATTGACGAAGACTATTTGTGATGTCTTGAATCGAAGCCCAGGTGTTCATTCCATTTGCAGATGGAGAGAACCCCTCCTCATCATCAGATAGCTGCAGTTTGTAAGAAGGGGTAGATGAACGATCGGAAGAATCATCAGATGCGCTGACTGATGGGTCTTCCTCCTCTTCGCCATCGTCTTCTTGGACTTTCTTCTCTGTCGAAGGGATCGTAAGGATTCGGCCATTTCGAGGGTGGGTGATTGTTACCAAGATGATTCTTCAGCGCCACTAGTAATTGCTGGACCAGCCAGACAATTTGAGGCGCGTTCTTCAACCGCGCTGCCAATGACTGGCGCCCTTCGCGGAAGACACCCATGTTCGCCGCCCAGATATTGAGACTCGCCATCGTCTCCGTTGCGTCGACATCTTCAGCTGAGCCATCAGCGGACAGCTGGAAAAGAACTTCTCTGCATCGGTTCAATAAACCTCTAAGCTCTG